TTATTCATGCTTTATATATCATATGGAATTCGGATTCTACATAAACCTGGTAAGCAAGGTGAAAAGTTTGCCTCATAACGGATCACACAGAGATTTTTAAAGACGTTCTTCTCTGTCGGCAACTGCTCCGTGCTGCAATATTTACATCGTGTTCAGCCAGGGGTGTAGTAATACTTTGACAAGAAAGTTCCGGGCGGGGGGGAGGGGTTATGGCACCCAGTTTCAGGTTGAAAGAAATTGACATGGATCATAATATGACTCCCTTATCATTCTTATGTAAAGATAAATTTTACAATTTTATATACACAGTTTAACGATAAATATCTGACAAAATTCAGATACTCAACCCTTTGTAGCTGAAGTACGTCTGAATAATATTTATTAACTTAATCCTTACCGCAAAGGAAACAACATTTTACCGTTAAAATGATCTATTGGTTATTGATGTTTAAGGAAATAATCGCTGTTTATACATAGTTAATTATTATTAAAGCACGTAGTACGTATGGTTAGCACTGATTTAAAGGGTTGAGGAATTAAACTTTGTATTTATTTATAATACGTCAGAATTTATATAAATTGGTTTGAATTTCTATTAATTTGTAGCAATTATGAGAGAATGATATTGTGTATCAATTGTAGAAATGTCGGCTTTTATTTTAAATATGATTTCCTAATGTAAGTATGTACTGTTTAAACGTGTAAAGATTCCATTACACGTAAACAAATACATAATTAAATATAAAATATTATTTTATTTGTAATCATGTATGGTAGTGAAAGTTTGATTATGTTAGTGTTAGGACAGGCAGAATTTACAGGGTTAATCAAAGTGTGTTATGCGTTTAATGTACATCAGCATTGCTAAACTGGCTGCCCGCGGGTCACATGTGGGCCGAGACAACTTGTAACCAGACCGCGGAATTATATGTTAATTTGTTATTATGTGCTACAAGCTAAATTATTTTCTGAACTTAGAAGGATTTTAAGAAAAGTAATATTAATTCTTACCTCGTCATAGTTTATAAAGCTTTTGACTTCAAAACCTGTTAGAAATTGTTTCAGATATAAGTTATTGTTGGAGCAAATTTAAAATAACATGTATTTGTGCACATTTCAATTAGTTGAGGGGTGAGTGGAGGTATAGCTCCTCTCTTCCTTGACCTCGGCACTAGATGGGGGTGAGTGGTCAGCATCACGCCCCGGCCGGCTTTACCCCCGGGAAAGGACCCCGGTACCCATTGTAGAGGAGGCTGGGTGGGCCCCAGAGCCGGTCTGGACCCTCTGCCCCCTTCGGGGATCGAACCCCGATGGTCCAGCTAGTCACTATACTGACTGAGCTATCCCGGCTCATAACAATACATTCATCAGTTAATACTACAATAAATTTTAATTGTTAAAAGTAACAAAAATCGGCCATTAGTTTTAAAAAATAGTTCCAGAAGATCAGTTGTACCACCCTGATGTTCGCCATAGTTTCAAAGTCAGGCCCAAAGCTAGACGTGTCCTTTTTTTTCCTCGGGACAGTGACGTCATCAACAAAGGTAATATTTCGACTACTCACATTTTCCAATTTTTAATGACACTTAACGTATGAGCTTTTCCAGACTGGTTAGATTTTTTTACACCTTATCGATGTTTTTGTGTTATGTGTTATTCTCATTGTGATTTGCCTTTCATTTATATTTTATTACATTTTGTCAGCAAAAGATGTCAATTACAGGAAAGCACTGGAAACAGTGTTTGTGCTTTCCTGTAAATGGCTTGTCTGCTGTTTTCAAGCCATTAAATAAATTAATTTAATTATTATAGACGATAAAAGCTAATTTTAATGTTAATGAGTTATCGGGATTGTAGAATCTTATTGTAGGCATTTGCTTAGAGTCTGAAGGGTCAGATTAAACACGTTCAGTCATCTTCGTGTTGTGTTCGGCGTCACGCTTAATTTTTTATAATTCATTTTTGCACTTGACAAAATACAATTCAATAGTCTCTGTTCTGTTTGTATTTTCCCAATACCTATAATAAAGCAACAGATGAGAAAAAGGTATGGAGTTCAGTACTTCAGTAGTTCAATAAACTTTTAATATATTTTTAATAAAGTATGTCACGAATATATTTTGTTCCCAATTCGGAATGGATGTCCTTCAAAAAATTGTACAGCTGTCTTTGTAATTTGGGTTATATTGGCCCTACCATAATGATTTATTCAGTGATAAGCAAACTTTATATGGTTCTGTATTGAAGTTCGTATGGAATTAAAAAATTAATGTATAATCCAATATTTACTTATGCGTTTATATAACGATATTGTCTGTGTGTCACATTTGTGTTAAATAGTAGGATAATTAGCGAATAATGAACTCAAAATTATGTTGAAGGAAGCAATCGTTAACTAATTTAAGAGATTATCATGGAATTTGTCTATAGGAATTGAGATGAACCACGAAATACTTCAGTGAGCACAGCAGATTTCTACTACTCAGTAGTGACGTTTTGTATGCAGTCTTGTGTGAGGTTAATGCCACGCTGGAACACAAAAGTTTCAAAATATATTTACAGCAGGGGCGGAGCTTCTATGTTAATGGTGTTAACTGTGTTAACCCGCTCCCCGCGATCGTAAGCCTGAACTAGCTGGCTAACAACGCTCTCTGGAGATGGTTAAATATGTATTTTATTTGGTCTGTTATGTTGAGTAAGAAGGGGCGGTTTTATATTTTGTTTTTCAAAGTGTTAGCAAGGCTGACACGGTTAACATGTACACTCTGCTTTGATCCACACATATTTTCTTACTTAACATTTTATTTAATTTTAAATGATAACATTAATTCCAGGTATAGATGAAAATTGGCCTTGAGTGAGAAATGAGCCAGCAGAGCGCTGATTATGGACCCCCAGAGCCAGAGTTTTCTTTTTTTGATAGGGGCGTTGGGAATTTCATATCTTTGACATCGTGTCAGCACAAGACTCAGTTCGTTTGTGGTGACAAAGGTACCCGAAGCTAAAAGCTATTTACTCACTTTTGTCTGATACCAAAGTTAAATACGCGTGAGACTTAACATTCTAATTGGTGTTGTGCTAACATTAGGCAGTTTTTATCTTATTCCGTTTTTTATGGAAAAAGTTAGGCGTCCATAACGAACGATCTGTTTTCCAGTATAAAAGTTGTTCAGTGTGTAACCTATTATTATCCCCTTAAATATTCACCACTTTATAGGGTATTTACTTCTATGTACCCGAGACAAACCTCGCCCCTGAGGTACATAGTCCAGCAACTATTTCCGAAAAACATTTTGTTTTTAATACGTGTTACATATATTATATAGTTTTACTGTTAGAGATGACTATATATTTCACACCATCGTCTTTCGAATGACGTATGAAGATCCTAAAATAGCAGTTTTACGAAGTTCCCTGATGTCGTGTTCGCCCGGAATGTTGGCCAAATCTTTTCTGAGTGACTTGGAGACAGTTCCAGTTGCTCCTATAAATATTGGGATTACTTTTGCTTGAACGTTCCACATTCGCTGTATTTCAATGAGAAGGTCCTTGTATTTCAAGATCTTCTCTGCTTGTCAGTCGGTTTTGCTATGTCAATTAGGAGACAAGTTCCATTTTTGTTTCGGGTTATAATATCTGCTTTGTTATTAGGAATGGTTCTCTCTGTTCTGACTTGTTGGTCCCACAAAATAGTTATTTGGTTAACCTGACTTGTCTCCACTGCCTTCGGGATGTGTTCATACCAAATATTTCTTTTCTAGCTTTACCCCAACTTTCCTGCGTATGTTAAGATGTGACTGAGTACACACACGATCATGTCGTCGTATATATTGGTCTTTTGACAGCACTGGGAATCCAGACATAACGTGATCTGTCGTCTCATCAAATTGCTTACATAATCTGCATTTGCTGTCTGTATCTTTTTTTAATATTTTTGTTGCATAATATTTTGTGTTCAGTACCTGGTCTTGTGCTACTATAATCTGGCTTTCAGTTTCCCCTTTCAGATCTCCTCTTATTAACCACAGAAATGTATCTTCTTTCCTTATAAGTTGTTTGTCCAAACTTCGGAGATACTGCCCATTTTTTCTTTATACTTCCTAGAATTATTATTATTATTATTATTATTATTATTATTATCCCATCTATTCACCACTTCCATGTACCCAAGACAAACAGCAGCAGATATTTCCGGGATAGAAATTATTTTTAACACGTGCTACGTGTATTATATAATTTTATTATTAGAGATAACTACATATTATTATAATTATTAGGCATAATAATTTTATTAGTGGTAAAATTTATCTCGTAAATTTAATTTTGACCTCCATTATAAAATGTTATTAAATTCCTTTCCATTACGTAACAGCTTGGGTGCCCTGAGGTGTATGACGTATATGGGTCAGGCTGTTTACCACGGACCTGTTTTGCTTGTCTGATTCTTTAGCACGGCGAGTTTCAGAACGTAATGGTCGCTATGACCCATATAAATAACTACGATGAGACTATAAAACTTTTTCCTTAAAAACTTTCAATATTTTTATTACTAGGTAAGAAAAATTTTATGGGTGTAATAAAAATCATTCAACGTGTTTGAGGTAAAGGACAAATTATTCCTGGTGATTTTAAAGACGAGACAGTAAAACATTTTGTTGTACCTGCCGTCTTCTGCACACAGGTATATATTGAGAATGGAGTGGATTATAAATTGGGGTGTTGCGTATAAAATCACCTGTTACAGCTTTCCCAAAACATAATAGGACGAGGCCTGAAATTTCTTTGTTAAATACGGTTTGAAATTGACATATAAAATACGCTTTCACTTAAAGAGGACTGGGAAATCAATGAAAAGAATTTTACCTACTTTCAAATTGCATATACGCAGGTGGATGTTGTGTAATATCACGATTCTTTTTAGAGGAATATTATGTTTGAACGCGTACGGTCGCTTGAATAACTGTACCTCTCTCATTCTGTGTCTGGGTCAGAAGGAGGTCGGTAAAATGCTGCTCGAGAGCGCGGCACATGGGAGGGGAGGCGAGGGGGGGTATGAGGGATGGGACGTCCATTTGTGGAATATACATCTCGGAAGGAAATATTGCTAGTAGCAATATCAAGACTGAACAAGACAGGTGTATTCCTTAAGAAAACTGTCGTTGAACTCTATCTCAGTGGACAGACTGAAATCGTAGCTTCGTTCACGTAGATACCTTACCGGCTAATGTAAAAAAAGGAGGTCTTAGCTCGGGTATTCGAAACTGAAATTTATCTACAGGAATATTAGAGGTGCTTTCATAGTGAATCGCTCTCAGCCCACTGAAGGGACTATTTTGTGGGGAAAATTAAGGTATGTAAAGTGTATATATTTAAAAGTGATATGTGTTTATATTATTAATATGTTTTGTCATATGTGATTGTATTGTGTAGTTCGTCGTTATATGTGTACGCGATGGTTTATGATGGACGACTGTGTAGATGTGAGCGACGGAACTTAGAACCAGACATTTTTTTTTATGGGTGTATCGTTTGTAAATGATTTTGGTTTCAGTGCTAGTTATTAGATCTTAACGTAGACCTCAAATAGAGCAGAGATGCTACAAAAACCATTGCAAGAAATCTGTAATTTTCTTGAGAAACTCCAATTTTTTTTTATGAGCCGAGATAGCTTTCGACTCTGATCCAGGAAATTAATTCAGGACGTGGTGATATTCTTTTTAGTGCCTCGTGATATTCGGAAACCACAACGGTTTCGTCATGTTAAATATTTGTATACCCCAATGCTGTAGAATGTACGTGAGATGTAAACTGGTAGCTCACGGTCGTAGTTGCGTGTAACGTCATGTAATACTTCCTACTTAGCTGCTCGTTAGAAGACCGTTTGTTGATTTCCGGTGGTAATAGTGTTTTTGTTACGACGGCCTGACCTGTTTTAGAGCTCACATATCCTCTTATCAGGGTACATACCGTACTGAGGGTTTCCCCATAGGGTTAGATCGGCTGGACTTCGAAGTATGTCGTTCAGTACTGTCAAGGTTGGAAAAGCTTAAAGTGAGATAGCCACTTGGAAGACCTAGACATAGATGGGTGGATAATATTAAAACAGATCTTAAACAAATCGATTGGAACGATATGGATTGGGTTAATCAGGCTGATGGTTGGGACCGGTGGGGGCTTTTGTGAACATGGTAATGAACCTTCGAGTTCAATAAATGGAAGGGAATTTCATACCTTATTGAGCGTATACTATCAGGTTCTCATGAAGGAATGGTACAAGAAGTTGGTGTGGAGTTTATGTACTGATATATACTACACACGATGTCAAATTTTGACGCAGTAGAAATTTTGAAAAATTAATTTAATTTTTTTAATGCTTACACAAATTCTGTCATTCAGAATTTTACGAACAGTGTAGTAGCTTCTTTTAAAACCTCATCTCTCGACAGTATTTTTCCATTAAGATAAAATCGAAAATTAATCAAATATTTCTCTCAAACATTTGGTATACGACATGTATATAATGTTGTTAGGGTTTAATATCTGCAACATTATGAACATTGACAATATTTAAGGAAATATAAGGAAATAATTTCTGTGTAGTGCGAACAGATTTAATCATAATAGACCTAATAGATTTATACTGTTTACTTTTATGGATTAGTATCTTCAATAGACCTAATAGATGTACTGTTTACTTTTATGGATTAGTATCTGTGGCCTGTTCAGTTCAGAACAAAAAGTTTAACCCAGCAACAAATGAACTTCAAAGCCATGAAAACATTTGAAATTTAAGTGTAGGTACTCCAACTTGGAACTCACTTTTCTTGTACTGTTTTAATATAATTGTGGTTTCGTCTGCTTAACCCAGTTGCGACTTTTAATGCAAGTCACGTTCAACAGGTGAAGCAGTTATCTTGGGGTGGAAGGTTGACATCCAAGGACGTCTATCAAGCTTAAATAGTTTATTATAAGTCACTATAGGATTAACTTTTCTTACAGTAAAATCTGACGCAATGTAGCCACCTGTGTCACGAAAATTAACTTGACCGAGGAATCTTATAAGCGATATTAACTATTCTGAAATGTATCAGTTCCAAATGAATTTGTTATGACGTCTGTGAATATACCGTTCGAGTTATTTACAAAATGGGATATCTTAAATATCTTAATATGTACCTTGTACATAGGATTTAATTTTTACATGTAACTGTTGCATATATTTAATTATTTATTTAAGAGATGATATTGTTGCGTCATATTGTGATGATTATAATTGTTTATTTTAACCGTCTAATCACAATAAAATATTTTATTAAATATTAAAATATTATTATTACAATTAACATTTAATATTTAAAATATATTAAAATATATTAAAATATATTAAAATATATTTTAAATATTTTAAATATTAAATGTTAATTGTAGTAATAATATTTTAATATTTAATAAAATATTTTATTGTGATTAGACGGTTAAAATTAAACAATTATAATCATCACAATATGACGCAACATTATCATCTCTTGGACGTAACAATAAAATGACTTTGAAGCTGCGAACTTGACTTATTTGAATGAGGATAGAGTCAAGCAGCCCAATTTTAATTTTAAGATGTACGTTTCGTTTCTGGGGCCCAGTTAGTTTCCAGGTTAAACTCAGCGTAAAATCACAATAGGACAGACTATCTTAATGTTATCATTACCGCAGGCCTATGTTACATCATCATTAATCCTAACCGTCCTTAACATATTCAGTCATCTGGTCTCTAGTTTAAACATTTAGCTACAATCTCATCCTTCCTATTTAAAGAGTGAGTTATGAATAATAGCGGTGGAAATTATAAAAAGTCTTCCGTGACTAATTAACATGACTCGTGAAGGACTGGGAAGTTTTTATATGCACTTTTAGATTCAAGTACACGTTACATAATTGTATTTTACATAACGGCGGTCAGAACTTGACAGATGCATTTAAGAACTGGCAATACGTACTGTACTCATTAATGTAAGGTTATCTAATAAGTCTGCCACATTTGAATTCTAATATTAGAATCTGAGAGTAACAGCCGATTCTATAGCAGCCATATTTCTTAGTCCAGTGATAATTAAAAATAAACCTTTCCTGGACATTGTGTTTGATGTATTTAACCCATTAAAGTCCAGTGGTAATTATGTGTACCACTTATTGAAACAATAAATAAATCTGTGTGTTGTACCATGGGTTTCGTATGATTCTCAGTGCATCGTTAAACAGCATTAAGCACTTGATTTTTGTAGTGTAGTGTTTTAGTTCAGATACGGACTGAACTTTTAAAACATAATTTAGGAGACATACACTTAAAATTTTTATTATATTTTAAAATTAATAAAAAAGTTTTAATTAAATCTTTAGGCCATCTGCATATGATAAATATGAGATTTTAATATTATTTCTTTTGGTTGTATATGATAATTATGTAAATCCATTTCAGAATGAAATCAGGTTTATGAATTTTTTCAAGGCGACAGACATTATACCAAACCTACCGGGGTGTTAAACCGGATAGGTACTTGAAGATTTATCTATTATCGAGCAGATTTCTCGAGTGACTCTCGTTTTCCGTCTCTGTTATTTCATTCTTGTATCAAAAACACAATCACTGCTACATAAACCCAAAACGACAATTATAATTCTTCAATCAGGAAAATATTATTAAGTGGCCAAATCACGAACTTCGTGCTTCAAACTTCACTCCTTAGAAATGACTTGTCTGCGATTTCACCCATCCAAAAGCTGTTTAATTAAAACATTGCCTTCACAGCATACAGGATATTTCCGTAAGCTGTCAAGTTTCTTTCTACAGAGACTTTTGATATGACGTCCATGACTGGCCCAAGCTGCTTACACTCGGCAATGAATATATTATGTCATGTGAAATGACTGATGACTTAGTTTAGGGTGTTGTATTAATCTCTTGTCTTCTCAAGACACGCGGATTACGTTATTAAAAACTTCATATCGTTTATAAAATGTATGCGTGAATACACATATAGAGTGTCCCATAAGTTTAGGGCCACAGGAGAACTCTGTTATATGACAAAATAGGAAACATATAAAGAAGGGAATTTTGTTGTAAATCATACGTTTCAGATTTCAACTGTAGATTATTTTTACCTATCCTTAATTCGTGTTTCATGTAATATCTGAGTCTCCTTCACTACAGTTCCCCATTTCGCTGACTACGCCGTCGTTACGTTTTACTGTTTATGATGTAAAGAATACAAGAGTTTATCCTAAGTAAAACATTTCAACATTTTATTTGTAAACACGTGATTTTCAACAACTTTTCCATCAATACGTGTTTTCACATGTTTCGAAATAACAGATGTTTCTTATGGCTTATGGCTTATGGGACACGCTGTATATTACGTACGACATACAACTACACTTGTAACTGTTTAGTTGGGAATATTACCCTACTTAATAGGACATAAAGATTGTGTTAGGATGGGGCTGTTTTAAAGGAGCTACGAACCTCATTAGAAAATATGCATATTTGGTAAATATTAATTAAACTTATATGTAAACTATTCATTCCAGTTGTGTATAGGCCAAATTGTGGGTATAACAGAGGTCATAATAATATAATTTGTAATACTGATAACTATTTTTCATTGTACAGAGTGACATAATTCTTTTAAAAAAATCACGTTGTCATCAAAAATACATCGGACGGCCGAGTGTTGAGAACCTATTTTTATTATTTTTGTTACAAAACATTTCCAGACACGTCTTGTATTTTCGCAAAGGCGGAAGGGGTTCGTAGAGTGTATCGGTTAAAGTTCGCGGAATAAGACAGAGAAATTTTGAAACATTTATGGCCAGAGAGAGACTTGAATGCGGGATTTAATGTCCAGCCGGTGTATGGGTTCGGTTGTTTGTTATGAAGTAGGCCACTGCTGGACAGTGTTAGTGTAACGGTTCCACATTATATCATCTGAAAGTTATTCAGAGTGTAGGTAATTGTAAACCCATGGGCATTCATTTTACGTCCTAATAAATATTTGTGGTTTGATTATAGCGTGTATTCAGCACGTGACGTTTTTGCAGTGTGTAGTTGTAGTTTCAGGATAGATCCATTACATTAAATGTATTCTGACTGTGCAAGGGGGAAAAACAACAACAACAGAGCCCTGTAGCCTATAAATACGATTAAATGGTTTTAAAAAATTGTTTTCACATGCTTTTAACTCATTAAGTAATAAATATTGTTTGTTAGAGAGTATTTTGTAGTGAGAATTTTGTAACAGTAATATTTGTACATGTCAGACATTTACCATTCCTTATCCTGCATTCGAAAAATGATGT